TGATCACAAACAATAAGCAATAAGATAAAAATTGATATGTTCTCATATTGATAACATATGCACTAAACATTAGTTGTGCATTCGTTTATCACACGCATATCTATCATTTATTTATTTCATTCAATCAAATAAACAAATGACAATATCGCATGCGATAAAATAAAAGTTTGAAATGGAAATGGAAAAGTTCGAAGGGAAAAAAGAAGCACTTTAGAAGTAATATAAAATTGCCTTTGTCTCTCAGAACATTTTAATTTTGAACTTTCGAAAACCAAACAAAAAATGAACTTGTTTTAAGTTGGCTTTTTCAAATATCAGAACATTAAGTCTTTCTTAAAATAATTTTACCGTTTCATTTTCAGGCTGTACGGAAGCTCCTCACATATTTTTATTAGTTAAGTAATAATTTCACCCATACAAATAACACTCCCAATTAAATTTAAACGTTTAATTTAATATTATCGATTTTTTAGAAATAATTATAATCAAATCAATCGATATATTAACAAAAAGAAAAGATATAATATAATAAATAGTTAATTATGAAAATTTATTTAAATGAAATTTAATAAAATTTTTTTTTCATAAATGATAATGAAATATTACTAAAAATTAATTATTTTCGTTTTTTTATGTTATCGAAAATAAATGAAATAATTCAAATACTTCCATTCATTGAATATTTTTCCATTTAAAATTTCTATTACACTAAGAAATTTCATTCACATTTTGATTTTGCAATAAATTTAAATTTTTTTCAATTTTAATATGAAATTTTCTTCTCATAAATGAAATGAATAATTTGGAAAAAGAATTTTAATTTAATTAATATAAAAACAAAAGATTTATTTTCAATTGTAAACTTTCTTCCTTTAATTATTTATCATTTCAATTTTAATTTTATCAATTTTTTCCACAAGAAAATGATAATATTTTTCCGATTTGTACAATTTTAATTTAATTTCTTTTTGTAAAAAATGAAAAAAACAAAGAATTAAATTTTGTACTAAAAAATAAAATATTTTGATAATTTTCTTTAAGATTTTATTGTTATTATTTCTTATTAAAAAATATTAATAAATCAAAATATATCGAAATTCAAAATATTCGGAAATTTAAAACTATAAATTTATACGGAGATTTAAGGCATATGGAAAATATATTATATATTTAACTATAAACTATATATATTTAACTATAAATTTATATATTTACCATATTTAGCTATTTACATATTTCCTTTCAAATTTCCTATCAAACATTTCAAACAAGGAAGAAATGCATTAAAGTATCGTTTATTACGTAAAGAATACACGTGAAAACGTGTGTTGAATAGTTGGATTTCGTGATGACAATTTTATATTTATTTGAAATAATAGAAAAATTAAGTAAATATTTATGCAAATTTTCCTATTAAAATTATTTTATTTTCGAATTTCTTTTTTTTAAATTTGTGGTAATTAACAATTAATTCATTAAAATATTAATTAATTATGCTTATTTTCGCTTTTCACATATTATTTTGCAATTTAATTGAAATTTTGAAATTCAAATAATTATTTTCAGAAAATAATTTGGAAATTTTGGAAAAATTTCTTAAATTTAATAATTTTTTTTAGCAAATAATTTGCAAAATTTTTGAAATTAAAAATTCGAATTTATAATAATAATTTTAATTAATAAAAACTTTTAGCAAACAATGCAATTAAAGGAAAATTTTTTAAATATAATATTAGCAATGAAATAATTATTTGTATATTAAAATTTATCACACAAAAAATGTAATCAATCATTATTGCAAGAATGATAAATGATAAGATTTTGATAAGTGAAAAAATAAAATGATAAGAAGTGAATGAGTGAGAGAGAGAGAGAAAGGGAGAGAAATAACGAAAAAGCAAAAATGTATGAAAATGCAAATATTTTATAAATTTATAAGTTATAATATCCTCTTCCCTCCTTATCACATACGATTGATTGATTGATTGTAAACTATTGATTGTCTCAATTTCGTAGACATTTATAGACAATAATTAATTATTAACAAAAATAATTAAATTAAATGAAAACAATAAAGATATGAATGAATGATAAAAAAGGGAGATAAGGTGGCTAATAACGTCAATTTTTCTTTTCTGAATGATACTATTAAAATTAGAAATTGAAAAATTAAAATAATGAACTAAATTTTATTAAACTTATTTATTAATCAGTTTATAATTATTATTACATTACAAATATGATTGTTGAAAATTTGATTTTGAATGAGTTCGTCGTTTGATAATTTTCATTTTACCAGTTAACGGATGAATGTATACACCACGACGTTTTGCTAACTTTGACATAACTTTTCGATGTCGTGGTAACTGTTGAGCAGGTGGGATATGAATTTTATTAGGAGCAAAAGGACTAAAAGGGTTCATTGCAAATATTGGAGATAATGGTGCAGGAGGATTACGGCCATGTTCCGGTGGATATATTTCTGGTCTTGACGCGTATTTATCATACTAAAATATTAATGAAAAAAAATGCGATCGAAATCAAAATTTCAACAACGATCAGTAAATGTATTATTATAAATCAGAAAAGAAAATAGAATAGAAACTTTTATAGTTTTAAAATGAATGTAATAATTTTTTGCTTAAACTTCAAATGTTGTAGATATTTATCATTTATAATTTGAAATGATTAAAATGCAATCTTATACTACTTTTAACTTATTTTTTCTTAATTTTATGAGTGTTTAAAGAGCAATATAAATAAATTAAAAATTTCAGAATTATTGAGTAAATAACCGCCGGAAATTCAAAACCGGTTGGACTTGGAGAGCGTAAATCACGGAATCCGGTATAGCACGATGGAGCTGATGGAAGATGTTGCAAACGTGACAAATCAAAACGACATCTATCAGATGGTGTAAGCTATAAATGTTACCAAATTTAATGATACAACGATAATGAGTGTAAATGAAATATTAATTAAATAATTTAATTTATCATTTATTAGTACTCAAATAATTCAATAATCTTAGCTATTACTGTTATCATTCTGTTATCATTTAATAGAAAATGAATCAGTTTCTACTAATTAAGAGAAACTTAAGAACCATTAATATATTATAACAAATTGAATTACTTAAAAAAGAAAAATTGGGGTAATATAATTTTACTCAAAAATTTATTTTAACTTTTAAATAAAATTTTTTATCATTCAAAAATATTTAAAATATTCCATTCATTTATTTATTAAACAAATGAATGATTACTGTCATTAAAATAGAAGAAGAAATTTATAACATACGAGCTTAATTTCACTTCCATTAATAACAAAGCAAATGCGTGACCGTTCAGTTGGAATTATTTTTTGAAGTGATTGTCGCAATAATCCACGTGGTACAGTAATTACAAGTGGTTTCTTAATTTTTTGCTAATTAGAAAAACTTTTGATAGTTTTTACTACATACACACATACATATCAAATATAATTTTGTTCCTAAAAATACAAATAAAAAATTGTTTTGTTTTATACATATTTTTTAAAAAAACAAAAACAAATGCAATAGTTTTCATAGAGAATATTAAAACAAAAATGTTAATTTGATAACATTTTAAAGAGTATTTAAATTAATTAATTAATTTAACTTGAACTATTTCAACAATTGCTGAAAAATGATAAAATTTTTAAATTTTCTTATTACCTTTCGTGTTATTCTCGATGGACCGGCCTGATCCATAGATTTTGTAATCAGTTAGATATATGGAAAATTTGTGTATAATTCCTATATCAGAGAATATCACTGATAAATATTATCAATAAGAATGAAAAGTAAAAAGAATTTGAAGTTTTATTGCCCAAAATTGTTACCATTTTTTTATTCTAATTCAGAATTAATTGAAATTAATTAACTCAACCGACTGTTATCCATTAATTTAGAATTAAAATTGACCTAACCGGCCGCTAACCGGAGTTACAAATATCAATAAATGCTTTTCAATTACTGATTTAGTCATTTTATACTCTTCAAATTACTGTTTCTATCATATTTAATTATATTCGAATGCATTTATTATAAATCAAATATCGATTAAACTTAGCTAAATAAAAATTAAATCAAATTGTTATTTTAACGTATTGAAATAATTAATAATATAATCGATTGATTTCTTTTCTGATCTTTTTTTTTGACTGAGAAATTTGATGAAGTAATTTTGCAAAAATGATAGTTCATAAGAATTAAAATTAATTGATCAGTAGGAAATGATTGCTAATGAATGTTAACAGAACTGAAATCAGAAATCTTTTATGGGTTACATCAAGAAATAGCGGGAGAAAAATGTGCAGGGATCAATTATATCCATAAATACCGGTAGAAAAATGTTATTTCCGTTCAGTAATTTTAAGATTTGCTTAAAATTTTAATTTTTAATTCGCGCGAAATCAATGATATAAAAGGAAGTTTAGAAGGTTTGTTTTAAATAACATTAATATAATTAAGCTTTGATTTTAATTATTATTGCTAAAGTAAAAAATTTCACACAAATATCTAATAAAATCGAATTTATTTCCCATTTCTTTTATCTAACGATCTTGACAGCTTCTGAAAATATTTCTGTGTTTCTAAAATTTGTTATTTTACTATTGCATACATTTATAAATTATTCAAAAATTTCAGATTAAATTATTTAGAAATATAGCAGAAAATTTAACTAATAATGTATGATTTAAGATTGTAATTAAATTTTAATTATAATTAATTATTTTTTCTTTTTCAAATATCGCCTTTTGCTTGTCCAACAATTTGAATTTTTAATTTGTCGTATGATATAAGCATGAAAATGTGTCATTTAAATTATGCATACTTATTTTTTGGCCTCTTTTAAATATCACCTGTTTGCTTGTTTTAAAAATTTTCATTTTATTTTCTTCTTCAGATGAACCAATGAGTAGTGAACGATGAATTTGGAAATTTTTATACTATCTATTGTTTTTATAATATGTGGCCTTCCATCGTTTCTTATCAATATTGCCACTTTTATTGTTATCATTAAAAATCAAATATTCAGGTTAGTATCATTTCTTATCAATACTATCACTTTATTGTTATCATTGAAAATCAAATATTTTATCATATGCAATTATTTGTTTATGAAAAATTAAATTCTAAATTTAAAAAGGAACAATTTTTGTGATAAATAAAATTATGAAAATTTAATACCTAAATTAAAAACAATAATAAAAAAGGAGTATTTTATCATAAATAATTAATTAAACTATAATAATATGACTTCTCAATATTAATTTTAACTAATATTATTGTCCAAATAATAATTTAAAACAATTATAAAAATAAAGAATTTGAGTAGAAATTGCAGTATTATATAAAAAATATATTCCAAAATTTTACAATGATAAGGCAATTATTGATAATAAAATTGATAAGTTATCAATTACAGATACTACATATTATAAATTGAAAACAAACGGTATGATATTCACTTTTGCAGTTTTAGGTTTTTATTTTTTAATTATTAAAATTATTTCAAATATTGTTATACTTATTAATTCCAATAAAATGCATATATCATTGCTACAGCTAATTAGAAATGAAAGGAATTAATATTAATCGATTTGTGATATTTTCATTTCAATTCAATGTTTATAATATCATTCATTTTATCTTATGGAAAATGTTGCAATATTATTAATGAATTAATATTAATTAATAAATATCGAATATTCAATTCTTTAAATTATAACAACAAATCTTTTTTAATTCTCAAATAATTTAGTGATATTATTAATTCAATAATTTTCAATTAATTTTTGTGTTTATTCGCGCAGTTTTTTAATTTGAATAATTTCAGGCGATATCACATAGTTGCAGCATTTGTTATATTAAATAATGGTTTAACAGGATTAGCTGATATCGGTTTGGGTATAACAAGACTTATTGATATGAATCATTTTGATAATGATCAATTAATTGATAACTATTATTGCATGCTACATGTAAATTTGTTTTAAATATACATTCACTTTGAAAAAATTTTTCAGTCTAGTTTTTACTATTATTATATTTGAATAAATCGATTAAACATTGAGCAATAATTTAACCTACAAAGTATTACTTCATAGAGAGAGAGAGTGAAAAAGAGAGGAAGAGAAAAAGAGAAAGAGAGTTCAACAAAAAGTATGAATTATTTTCCATTTGAGTGAAGCGTTAAATAATTTGAATTAATTATGACAATACTATTTAATAATTAAAATTCTTTGTTTTTTCTTTCAATATCAATTTTTTATAATATTAATAAATTAATACATTTAACTTTTATTGATAAAAATCCTTACATTATCAATTGGATATAGCTTATAATGTTTAAGGTATCATAATATAATAGAAAAGTAAAAAATTGAAATGAAATAATTTCACATAACGAATAATATTTCATTTCAGTGTAGTAATATCCTAGTGATATTATTTTTATTGGATGGTTTTGGTTTGCTGGCATTTAGTTTGGATCGTTTCTTAATGGTTCGATTTCCGATTATGTATTTTAAAGATATGAGAAGAATTGTTATCATTCTTTTATCAACACTCTACATTATTCCATTCCTTATTATGGCTATATCAATTGCAATTGAAATTATTTCACCGCCACGTCGTATTTCGCCTATTTGTCTGTTCGTATTTCTTTTTAATTAATTTTATTGTTTTATTTATTTTTTTCTTTTCTTATCAAATTGTGAATTAAATAATAATTTCATTAAAATTTTTACAAATTTGTCAAAATTAAATTCTTATTAATCAAGTCTTACTTTTTATAAAATTAACTTTTTCTTTTTAAGCGGACATTTAATTTATACGGAAAATACATTTTCGGTTATTTTATGCATGCGAACATTAGCTGCTGCATTAAGTATTCCAATAATGATAGCTGTTGTTGTTATTATGTTCAGGTTTGAATTTAAGTTACATTTCCATTTTGTTAATTACTTTGCTTATATTTTCATTTTTATAATTATTTAATTATATTCCTTTTTGTTTTTGTAATCAACTAAATTTCCATCTGATCCGGTAAATTTCGTTACAAAATTATTTTTCATGAATTACTTAAAATCTATCTTATTATTTATGATATGATAATTTATTGTTTTTTTACATTCAATAACTGAAAATAATTAAAATTAGAGAATGCAATAATTGAATTATTTGAAAAGGAAATGTTTTTTAAATTTAAATATTTTAGAAAGCGACAAGCAATAGTGGCATCAAATCGATCAGTAACATTTACAAATATTGAGAGTTTCCTCCATCGGCAGAAAGATTATGCGATAACAGCAATTTGGTCATGTTCAATAACATTTTGTAAGTATTTATTTTAAATTATATCAAAACTTTTCTGTAATTGTTTTGAATTTTATTGCAAACTTTTACAATTATTTTAAATTTAATTTTTTTTTAAGATCTTTGTAATTATTTTGCAATTTTTCTTAAAATTCTTTAATAAATTCGATTAAAATTTTATATTAATTAAAATTAATTAATTCCAGTTCTATATATTTTACCAGCAATAAATCAACTAATTCATGATCGTTTGGATACCTTTAATGAGAATGAAATGGCATTATATGCTCTTATATTAGGTAATATCAATTCCTACAATATTGCACTCATTTTTATCTATCGACAAAAAAACATTTTTAAAAATATTAAAAAAGTTTTTTGCAAATTTTATCCATTAAAGAAAGTGACAACAGTGGTACCAGGAATTGAAAATCAAATTGTTGCTCGGGTAATTGTTAAACCAATAAATATCGAATAATATTTGCATCAGAATTTTTTTATAATTAACACTTCCTAAATGATTCTTTATTGATAAATTTATGTGATAATAATATATATGCCAGTGAAATTGATGAATTGATTGTTTTGTGAACAAATTTAAGCTATTTAATATATATGTCAAGCAAGGATCATTAGGTCCTTACTTTTTATCATTTGGTTTCATGATCAAACCTATGCATGTTATGTAACAGATTTGTTTGTAAAACGTATCTCTATTAGAAAAGGTCATCAGACTTTTGACCTATAACCTTGTTGTGTTCTTTAATTTTGTTCTGTTAAATTAAAATAATTTTGATTAAATTTCTGAAATTTCATGCAATAGAGCATTGTTTGAAATGAAGAAATCTATTTTATACAGTGAAATTTTAAGTAAATTACAACGCGTCGTAATTTCATTGATAATTTAATATTCAACAAAATTAAAGTGTTATGGAAACGATGAGTCATCATTTCTGCGCCAATTTGTTACTAATGCTGAATCCTAAAATTGAAATTTGCTAACATTTTTTCAATAGTAGTGATTATTGTTTTTATAGAATTATAATTGTGATAAGTTATTCAATTAAATCTTAATTAATTACCGTATATTATAAGAAAGATTTGGGATGGGATTGATTTTTTAATCATTTAAATTTATCGATTTAATTTTTTATCTTTTTGAAACTTTCAGGAATTTTTTTCTTAAACATTTAATTCTCACTTTGAAGAGTTAAAAAATTGATAGAATTTTTTAAATTATTCAATAAGAAAGCGACCTTTTTGCTGAAACTAAGTACCATTGAACGACCATCTGAACATTTCAAATCATAAATACGACCATCGTCATATACTTGATAATCTAATCTCCCATAATCATCCTTATCACCAACGGGACATGTGACAACTCCAATAATATTTCCATGCCTTCTTCCTAATTCCGACTTACTACTATTCGATGTATGATTATGAATGGATTGTTCACTGCTGAAATATGATAAAGTCTTTGATAAGGTATTAAAATAATAATAGTAACAGTAATAATTAATAATAATATTATTATTATGATAATAATTATTAAAATGATAACGATAATTATTATGACTATTATAATAATAATTATTTATTATTATTTTATTATTATAATAGTATAATGTTATTATGATGATTATTATCACTAATATTACAATAATAGTGGTAAAAATAATAAGTAATAATATTAATAAATAATAATAATAACTGATACGAATAAATTGATTAAAAACAAAATTTCCTCATTCAATTTATTTGGATTGATCATAAAAAGAGAAAAGCGTAAAATTAAATACGTAATTAATTTCATTAAATTTTATTGAATTCCAATAATTTCAAATATCAAATTTGAAATTTCTATTAAATAATAAATTTGAAATAAATAATGTTTGTGAATAAAAAAGGAAATAAAAATAGCAATAACAATACTTATTACTGCTAATAATAACATGTCCAATTTTCTTTTTAATTTCCTTCGATTCCTTTGTTATTGGTAAAATAGGAATTGAATAATGAATTTGACCATTGCGATCGATGTAACCGCGGGTATTGATTTCAGCATCCGTAATATAGCTGAGGAAAGATAGAAAGAGACTTCAGATTTAATTAAAATTTTGAAAAATTAAGCTGTTCAATAAATATCGACTATTATTCGTTTTCCATTGATCGTTATTTTCAATAAGTAACCGATATATCGCAGTATATGAAACAAAAAAAATCTTAATTATAAATTAGCATTCTTCAGTTATCAAATATTATCTTCATTAATAATCGATATATCTAAGAATGGAAAACAGAAACTAAATGTTGAACAGGTCAAATAAACTTTTTCAAATGTACTACTGCTAAACTAATAATTGTCATGATATTTAAATAACTTAAAAAATCAAATATATTGACCAGTTGTTGTTTAATTTAATTTCCATATGCACCATGAAAATTATTAAGCAATTAAAGTTTCTCGCTTTTATTTTTAAAAGATAAACAATTCCTATACTTTTCGGTAGACGGATCCGGATTGCATTTGTCACAATAAGAGCTATGCTGAATTCTTTCCTCTGGTCTTTTTATTTGACCAACGATCGGTGATATATTCTGCTTACTATTAATTCCGTTGGAAAAATAAGAAATTTGCCAAAAAATTAAATATTCAACAATGCATAAATTCTGAATTAAAAAATTGAAATTATTTAAATTTAAAAATAAAATACTAAAAAAGTTTCGGAAAATAAAATTTTGGATATTTTCAAAAATTTTTGCATTTTATTTAATTCCTTTTGGCAAAATATTTTAGTTTCGAAAAATTACTGAAATTAAAAATATATAAAAATAATATGATAGTTTCGTTCTCAAATATTATTTCATATGTTTTTAATAATTAATAATAATTACTTAATTTTATTATTTATTAATCGTTTCTTTCGTAATTCGATTTCATCGAAATAATTTTTCGATTGTTTCAAACGTTCATAACTTAGCTTTAATCGTCCATTTTTCAATAAATTAGCATCTTTCTTTGTTCTAAGCAAATTTATTATTTAAATTTAATAAAATATTTTAAAATTAGTTTAAGAATTCAAGCAATTATTTAAGTTTTATATATATTTGTAATGAAATAATCTTTTATTTTTACATATTTCTAATTTTAACAAATCTTTTTTTCAACGTTTTTAGGAAAAGAAAATTTCATACTTAAAGTTTTGTTTATGTTTGCGTGAATCATTCAAATCTAAATAAGGATTTAATCGATTTTCAGATTCTGCCAGCGTAATTGTCGTATCATCTGTTGATATTTCAGGCTTTTTTTTATTCCATTGATTTGAATAAATTTTCTATATTTGTCATGAACATTTATTTTGAAATTTTATAAATACAAATGATAATTAATTAATTCAATATAAGCATACATAATTCGATGATAATTAATTAGTTACAGATAAGTAAGATTGTTCCTAATTAATCGCTCAATTTATTTACAGATAAATGCAATACTTATTAGAAAAAGTTCTTAGATAGTTTTATTTAAGTTTAAATAAAAGTTATAAGAATAATAACAATAGGAGCAATAATTTTTTTTCTACAAAAATTCCTTTATCATTTTAAAAGGAACGAAAATATTTATCGATCGCTGTGTTTATTTTTACTACAAATTAACTCTGACATTAAATTTGCGCGAAGTTGAAATTTTATCGGCCATTTTTAAACATCAGTAAACAACAAATGATATTGCAAATGGATTGAATGTCATATTTATAACCTTTAGAATAGATGTCAGAAAATGAAATAAAAGCAATTATGCAAATTACTTGTTTTATTTGTCAACAAATGCTAATTTTTGATATTATTTATAGTTTAATTTATTCTATCAATCAATTGTTTTTCATATTTTCATACTATTTTAGTTAAACTTTTTGCTGAAAAAAATTTTGCGTTAATAAATCGAAATTAATGACAAATTAATTTCGCTATAAATTAAATCAAAACTGATTGAAAGGATGAAATAGTAATAGAAATTATTTCGAGCATTCACACATATAAAGTGTACGCAAATGTTAAAATATTCAGCTGCAATCGCTTTTCATTTCTGAATTGCAAATATGTGAAATTAAAAATTCATTAATAAATGTTATGAATAAAATATATACATATTTTTAGCAAATGATAAAAGAATTGTAGTGAACAAATTTGTTATCGATAAAAATATTATATTCCCATAAGAATGTAAATTTAATTGAAAAATAAACTTTTAAGAAATTATTTTTAGCGTTCACTGAGCTTTATCACTTATCACTGAGCTTTATCACTTAATAATGAATTCAAATTGCGAATAAAAAATAAGAAAAAAAAGATTATTAACATTTATAAATTAAATAAAAATTCAAATAACTATCACTGTAAATATTGGAAATTTAAGAAAAATAATTGAATAATTTAAATAAAAGAAACGGTCGCAATGTGAAATAACTAAATTGAGCGATTTTCAATAAATTCAAATAATAATAATAAAGCAAATAATTTTATAAAAGAAAACAAAACTGAAAATGACAAGAAATTATTTCGAAAGAAAATTATAAAAATTAATTAACTCATTAGTAAAGTTAAATTCTTCAATATTTATTTATAAAAAAAAGATAAAAAATTGATATAACATAAAAGCGAACTTTAATTTCAGTAATAAAAATTATTTTTTAATCAGCAAAAATTTTAAAAAGTAATACCAGCTAAAGGTTAAAGTGCAATAAAACTTACATTAAAATATAGAAATTATTTCTATAATTACAATGCAACGACGTTTTCAGTCGTTCATCTGATTGGTGCACTTCAACCACTCTTATTGTTTATTATTTATTGTTTGTGATCG